TTTATTGTTTTGATGTTGTCATTTACTGATTAACTGCTCTGATTCCCTGTTGTCATTTGATGTTTTAGGGTTTCAGGATTGTTGTATTCTCTGTTCGGCTTAGTTTTTCGGATCTTTGCTGTGGAGGGACGGCATGGTGCTTCTGCCTAGAGCGCCATTTTGCCGGAACCGGACCTGAGCTTTGATTTTTAAAGTAAAGAATATCTTTTATTCCGTGATTCAAAAAATTCTAAGAGTCACTACCTCTTCTCTGTCGACCTCAGGAAAGGGGTGGCTGCATGCTACCCAGTGGAAGATTTTAGATTCTCTGTTGTGTGACTCTGAGGTTGTTTGACTGTCTAGAACTCACTCAGGAAACACTGCAGGTTGAATACGGGTGGAGGAGCATGGGAAGAAAAGGTGACAAGGGTCCTCATTCCTGGGTCCAGAGCTGCCCACTTGTCATCTGTCTGGCTCATTGGGCAGCCCTCTTTTCCTCTAGCTCACCCTTCTTTTCGTGCTCCGCTAAAATGAAACCAAACTCTTTACCGTCAAGTCAATTCCGAATCATGGCGACCCTGTAGGACAAAGTAGAGCTGCCCCGTAGGGTTTCCCAGCAGCAGCTGGTGGATTCGAACTGCCAACTTTTTGGTTAGCCGCTGAGCTCTTAACCACTGCGCCGCCAGGGCTCCACTAGCACGGGATTATTAGCACCTAAATAAAATGTACATAAATGAAAAGAAAATTGTGGGCCTTCTATTTTGTTGTTAATACAAGCTTAAGACATTAAGCTTGGGCTTACAGCTTTTGAAACATGTAGTCTTATTTTTTAAATATATTTTAAGATATTTAGACTGGTTTTTAAGACATGGGCATCATAACTTCGCTGCAGCTAGACAGGTGGCCACTGACTTAATTTTGGGGGGAGCCAGAGACCTCCCCTACACCCATAGCCCCAAGGCAAGTCCTGCATCAACCACACCCACCCCCACCCCCAACTCCCATACATATACAGAGAGGCATAGCTCTCCTTTTTTTAAAGCTCACTAAAAGAGATCCCAGTGGGGCCCTGAGGAATCTTTTCATTGTTTCACAATTGTGTCTGCCAGAAAGTACTTCTCTTGCTGCCAAAGAGGCCATTTCACTTATTGTCCTTTATTCTTTTGTCATGAAGATGCAGCATCTTTAACAAAGGAAGTTATATTGGCTATAGTTCAAGTTTGTATTACCTTTTGTTAAGATGACTGTTCTCTTTTTGAAAGTAAAAATGCACATCGGGCCACCATACTGAGTAATTTGACATTGAAGATCTTTTTTTCTTTTTTTTTTAACAAGTGTGGCCTCATGACATTAAAAAACACCAACAAAACCAGCCATGGAGGCTCCTGCCAACATGGTCTTTTGTTTCTTGTTTCCAGCAGTAAGGATTCCTCTCCCACTCTGGCTTCTAAAGTGGACCAACTGGAAGGCATGCTGAAGATGCTTCGGGAAGATTTGAAGAAGGTAAACACTTATTCCCGAAGCAAACTGCCCAGTCTGTGCAAACTGCCCTTGAACTGTGTGAGCCCTGGTTAAATAGTGATGGTGGAATAAGATGTGGTGTTTCCCTCTTTCCTGTACACACAGTGTGTTTAGGGACAGCTTGGAGTGCAGTTCCACTAGCACATGTAGTACAAGAAAGCTTTCATTGTCAAGTGTCCAGGAAAATTGTTCCCTTTTTTGTGAAAGTCTTTGAACCTCAGCCAGCCCCCTCAGAACCCTCTCCCAGCCTTCCTACTCCTTGTATAACATGCCAATAGTCTGGACCCACCCATCATTATTTAGGCTTTTGCAGCAAGAGAATCAAATGTTTTATTTGTTTGGTGGCTTTTGTTATATAAGGACTGCAACCACCAAAACAATTGTCTAAAATTTAAGACAGTCCTTATTAACAAAGATGTTAAAATATACATTAATGTAATAACATTCCAAGACAAACCTATAGTGAAGCCCTGTTCCCTGGGTTTAGAGTATCTTAACACCCAATACCAGGTAGTGTATGCAGGAGTTTGGTAGAAAGAAGAATGGAAATAAGCCAAGGATCATAAAGCGTTCATAGCTACTTCTAGCAGTTGGCCACAGTGGGGCCACACCTCTTAGTTCTTTTATACTTTGCTCTACCTCCCAGGAAAAAGAAGACAAAGCCCACCTTCAGGCGGAAGTTCAGCACTTGCGTGAGGACAACCTGAGGCTACAAGAGGAGTCCCAGAATGCCTCGGACAAGCTGAAGAAGTTCACGGAATGGGTCTTCAATACCATAGACATGAGCTAGGGAAGGCTAAGGTGGAAAGGAGAAGGCGGACCACGGGGAGTGCGCTCTCTAGCAGGACCTTGAAGCCCCTTGTTCATGCCATTGAAAGCATTCTCAGAGCACCTCCCCCAGCTTCCTCCTTTGCCTCTTGTCGGGGAGTGCACAACACAACAATTGCAGATCAACAATCATTATCTGCCTTTTGTAGAAAAGAAAAACAAAAGTAAATAAAAATTTTAAAAAGTAAAAGTTTAACTGCTAAAATGTGAATGTCTTTATTTTTTTGCACAATATCTTTATCTGTCATGTATTTAAAAAGAAATTGGACCTAGGGCCGGGGCCCCCCCACCCCACCCCCCAGCCCATCTGCCTCTGTTTCCATCAGCTTGCTCTTATCCATTTCAGGTAACACAAGCTTTCTTTCCCTTGTTATCTTGGCAAACGTCATTGTTCCTAGGAAAATAAAAGTGTTTTTTTTTTAATTGTTTATTTGGGGAGTGTGGGGGGGTTACTTTCTTTACCTTCTTTCTTAAAATGCCTAGAAAGGGAGATGATTTTAGAAAAATGCCTACCTCCCTTGAATGACTTGTGCATGAGCTAATGCTGTTAGTACCTATCTTACACAGATCAGCAGATGAGGTTATTTAATAATAGCAAGTCAGTAACCCAGAGAGAGGGTAGAGACAGTGCCGGAAGGCCACACCCCTTTTCACATCCTGCATTGCGACGTCACTTCCTGCCACCTTCCTTTTCCGGAGGGAGATGGTCCCAGGTGCAGCCCTGAAACCTAATACCTTTTTTTGTTTGGCTTAAATGAGCCCCACTAAATTGGAATCAGCCTCTACAGCTACGTGGCTCCGAACGAATTGCTTTCAAAATTCCCCCAAATTACAACGTTATTATTTGTACTTTTTATCATCCCTATTGTATGCATTTTGGTCACAAGTATAGTTTGTTTGAGATTTAAAGATAAAAGTGTGGTAATTTTTAAGCTGGTGAAAATGACAACATAAGCTTGCTCAAAATGATTACGTGAATAAGTTAATAAATCCTTCTTTCCAAAGCAATAGTTTGCCATTATTTGTAACTAGGAAAAGCTAAAAATGAATGAAACTGTGAATTTTAATGCTTGCTTTTCAGGAGCAATGGCTGTGATAATAGAATGGGCATGGCTCCGGATGAAACTTAAGCATGGTATTTCCTACATCCTTTTGGGGGCCATCAAAAGGGTACCGTTGCAGAAGTTATTGACGTGCTCTTTTTCCTGTCTAGTGATGCATTGTTCTAAGGCCCTCAACAAGCAGAGCACAGAGACCGGGCCTACCAGCGTTGACTGGCCTGACGACAGCCCTTGGTGGCTTTGTTTCTTGCCTTTGTAATTGTCCTTAAATTGGCATCTGCTCGGAAGTTCCCTTCCCTTCCCTGAGTAATCTCAACTCGTTCCTCTCGCCATCACTGAAAGGAACAAGATGCGTTTTCCTCTCTGCTCCTCCCACGCCCACTACCAGATTTTTATGCTACCTAAGCTCTCATTCATGACTGTAATTTTTCCATGGAATTCTTTTTTCTTCTGATGACATATCTATCATGGAAATAGGAAGATTTCGGAGTGCTTTGTAAGGGTTTCCGTTGTCTGTCTCTTTCTCTCTTTGACTTGTATGAAGGAGATTGTACATTGCCTGATTTCTCTTTGTAAATGAGAAATATCGCTAACATCCAAGCATTCTGAAGTCTTGCTTATTCCTCTGAGTTTTGTTTTTTTGTTTTACATTTTGTTTTGTTTGGGACTTGGGGCAAGCTATTTATTAGAGTTTTGCAACAGAGTTCTTGTTTGAAGCCTCTAAAAAGACTACTTGTAAAGTTCAAACAATAAAACTGATTTTAAACACTCTTTTAAAACGCTTTGGTATTATTACTTGAGGTTTTCTTATTTGAAAGACCACCCAGTCACTTGCATCCTTATTTTTTCATCAAGCTCCATTAACAACTCAAGATGATTCTTCAAAGTTTCTGCCCTCTTTAGAGTTTAATAAGCTTTTTTACTCTGTCTACATGTCCTTTTTTGCCTTCTCTGCTTAGGATTTGATATTTGCCAAGCACTTTGTAATTAGTTTACTCTTCATTGTCCATGTGTGGATTTTCCATAACAACATTGCCGTTCTCTGAGACCGGCACATTTTTGTGCTCCTGCATCTCCCAATGTTAGATGTCCTGTGCTCAGGGAATACAAATGCCTGCTAGTGTTAGGCTGTGCAAAATATAATTAGAAAGGTTAGTCTACTGAAAAAAATCATAATGCATTCCAAAGCTAAACAGAACTAATTTCTTTTTAATCCACCACGTCACTGTTCCTCTCCAGTGGTGCAGCTAATTGAGAGCTGACAGTAGTGTTTTTTCCTTTAGTTCGGTTCAACAATTCTACAAATTCTAGAATTACAGGACGGGGTGAGACTGGATGCCACAAGATAGTCTGAGTTACAAGCTTAGAGGGTCTGTTTTAGACCATGGTTCTTACATGGTTTCGAGGTTTATACATATTTCTGAAGGGTTGGGTGTTGCCGGGGAAAGGTGCCATGGGCCTGCGTTGACCGGATCTTTTGAGCTGACTAGTTGGATGCCATCTAGTCATTTTTGACTCAGCGACCCCATGTGACAGAGTACAACTGCCCCATAGAGTTTTCTTGGCTGTACTCTTTATGGAAGCATATTACCAGGTCTTTCTCCCGATGAGTGGCTGGGTGGGTTCAAACTACCAACCTTTCGGCTAGCGGCCGAGCACGTAACCATTTGCACCACCAAAGCTGAATGGAGGGACCAATAAATTACTCTCCAGATCTGCTGCATAAAATCTGATGATAAACTGAATCAGATTACTAACTCTTTAGATGGGGATAAAAATGACAGACGAAGGACAAAGGAAACACCCCGCGCTTCCACAGTTTGCCTGTAGTTCCATGCAGAATGCTGACCTGAACCCAGATTCCAGTCTCACAGTGCAAGCTTCCAGCAACTCTGATGCTGCTTTTCCAGAATGGACAAAAATTAGATTAATGTACAAAATGGGATACATTAGTCAGAAACACATACCTGATGAAACCTTGGTCACTGTTAAACACAAACTATGTTATTTTAAAAAGAAAAATGATGCCAGGATAATGTTGAACACTTTTTTATATGAACTCCAACATTAATGACTTGTCCATAGGAATCAACATAATCTGATGAAAAATAATTTATTGACTTAGATAAACTAGGGCCCAATTGCAGCCCTTCCTTAGCAGTTGTATTCCCTTAGGTAAATTACTTAATCTCTCTGATCTTGGCTTCCTCATCTGGTAAGATAACAGCCTCATATATTGTTTTAAGGATTAAGTGGCATAACGTAAAACCAGTGATCAATTGTAGACAGTAGACATGCCTTCCCTGTCTTCTCTCTATAGATTAAGGCTTTTCTGTTGTTTTTCTAGGAAGGAAGCCTGACATTAATAGCAGAGTGACATAGTAGCGCCGGAATGAGCTTGTTCACTTTGCTTTATGTTAGTCAGGTGCTTTTTAACACCCTGGGCACATTTTGTAACAGTGACTTTCAAACCTCAGTTTGCATCAGAATTACCTGGAGGGTTCAAACACAGATTACTGGGCCGAACACCCAGGGTCTGATATAGCAGGTCTCGGGTGGGGCCCCAGTATTTCTAATTCCTACAGGTTCCCAGATGATGATTTAGAAAGAGGGCTGTAATCTTAACAGGAGCACATCGCCAGGCCTATCTTCTGCTGCACCGCTGATTGGTTCTAACCTCCAACCTTGAGGTTAGCAGTCTAGTACAAATCATTTGCACCACCTCAGGTCCTCCAACAGGCGGGTCTTCATCAGTAATTGTTTTTTTAAAGGCTATTTTCTAGTTTTTTCCATCTCTATGTCCAGATAGCTGAGTAGTACTTAGGCAGGTTAGCTGATCCACGGAGTAGTCCCTGGGTGGTGCAAATGGTGAACACAGTTGGCTGCTAACTAAAAGGTGGAGGTTTTTAATCCACCCAGAGGCATCTCAGAAGAAAGGCCTGGTGATCTTCTGTAAAATCAACCATCAAAAGCCCTGTGGAGCACAGTTCTACTCTGACACACATGGGGTCAACAAATGGCAACTGGTGTGTGGTGGTGAGCTGATCCACAGAACGCCGTGTAGGGGGAAACAGACTCCATTTGTAGCTGAAGAAAGAGGGTTTAGTTACATTAAAAAAAAAAAAAATACTTGCTGCCATTGAGTCGATTCCAGCTCAGTGACTGTCTGGGACAAAGTAGAACTGCCCCGAGATACGGTTTCCAAGGAGTGCCTGGTGGATTTGAACTGCCATAGCTCTTAACCACTACACCACCAGGGTTTCCTGGTTACATAAAAGCAGGGACTTTTTGACTCTATAGGTGATTTATAGTCCTCTTTGTGTGACACTTTCTGCCACTTTTAAATTCCTGTGTTACCTAATTGGTGCTGGAATGCCTTCACGGTCATTAATTACATGGGACTAGTTACCAGACGGAGCCGTAGCAGTGCAGTGCGTAAGAGCACAGCTGCTGACCAAAAGGTCAGGAATTCAAATCCACCAGCCGCTCCTTGGAAACCCTACGTGGCAGTTCTACTCTGTCCTATAGGGTTGCTATGAGTCAGAATTGACTCAATGGCAATAGATTTGGTTTTTTTTTTGTTTGTTTTGTTTTTCTTGGAGTTACCAGATTGAAGGACCCCTGGTGGCACAGTGATGAAGCACTCAGCCGCTAACTGAAAAATCAGCGGTTTAAACCCACCAGCCACTCCACGGGAGAAAGATGTGGCAGTCTACTTCCGTAAAGATTACAGCCTTGGGAACCCTTACAGGGCAGGTCCACTCTGTCCTGTAGGGTCGCTATGAGTCAGAATCAACTTGATGGCAATGGGTTTGGTTTTGTTTAGTTACCAGATTATCAAGGAAGCCCTTGGTGACCTTAAGGGGCTGACAATTGGGATGGCAGTGTTGCTGAGGAAAGCAGTGGCTGGAGATGGCAGTCAAAGAGCCCTTTAGCCAAGCCCACAGTGAGTGGGTCACACCAGTGGTACAGAAACTAGGAGACTTAGTTTCAGGCTGGGAGCACTGAATTCAAATCACCAACTTCCAAATTCAGCCTAGCCTGCTCGCCCCAGTCTCTAAGAATCTATCAAACCTCAAAGATAATAGACAAGTAAATTTCACAACTGCCATCATACCTACCCCACATTGCTAAGAGATCTTTACCTAAATCCCATGCTGCGTGACAGCCCTTTTCTCTGCTACT